ATAATTTGCATCTTCACTCAACTTAGAAACCAATGGATGTTCCACATTTTCGAAGTATCGTCATAATGGTAGAATATACAATGTAATCAAAATAAGCTACCAATCAAGAGCTAAGAACAATTGTAGGCACAGTAACGGTAAATGCTTTCACAGATCACCAAAGAATCAAATGATCTGGTCATCCGGCCAAAATGGAACAAAAGCAGCCAGCACATAGAGCGTACTACAGGGGAACAGCAGGCTACAAAGCAAGAGGCCAACCAAGAAACAAATGGTTAGAGAGAGAGTAAAACACACTCCAGAAACGCAGTATGACATCAACACAAGCTATGCAACTATACAAAGGTAGGACACTACAAAAACATCGATGGCATAAGCAGTAGGGCAAAAGAAGAAGAAGAAAACATATAATGACTGGTCTTTAATCTTTGAGAAGTATTATTTAGTTAGTGAGCTGAGAACTTGCAGATATTCATTGAGTGATTCCAAACTGATCAATTGAAAAATTGTTAAGAGAAATAACCCAAACAACAGAAAAGTCTACCCACAGTTTGATACAAATTGACCCAGAACCGAATCGTTGATAAGTATCAAACAACTTCTAACTTCCAGAACCCCACATTAAAAGACCTTTCTAGCCTCTCCCCATTCCTCAAATTTTAAAACATGAATTTTCATACGTCTAACATAAAAAACACAGACACACAGCTATGCAGGGGTGCAATGCGTAATATTCACAACATAGATAGGAAGACAGACACTTTAACATAAAACTGTTCAGATCAATACAGCAAGGCAGATACAGACAAGAATAAGTAAAAATAGACATAAAAGCAATATGTCTCTATATAGAGAGACAGACACATTGACGGAAGGACGGAAGGGCGGACGGAAGGACCAATCGAGGAACGGACCGACCGACAATACGTAGCAACCAAAGTAATAGCGGGCACTACACAACTACAGATTTCAAATTAACCACCGAGAAGGCAATAGACTCACGAAATGAAGAATGAAAACAAAGCCACAGGAAGTTTTCGTCAGAGGGAAGAACACTGGTAGAGGCCAGCCCTGGAAGCTCCCCTGGTGGTAGGCGGTATCTCTCGTCAGTTAACATCCTGGGTGCTCAGACAGATCCTGGGTTTGTTGGCGCTGGATGAATCTTATTTATGCTGCAGTTTCTCAACAGTTTCTTTATACCAATGTTTACTTTACGTTTTCGCGGCATGCCTCTCCAAGTTTGTGAGCGTCCTTATAAATTTTTTAAATTTATTTTTATTTAAATGCATTCGTTTCATCGACTTTCTGGTGTGGCTGCTTAAATGTATTTTCTCAACGGCTTTGTTCTTTTTAGAAAATAGATCACTTTTAATTAGAGGGGTTATGAAAATAAGTTTTAGATGCTTTAAGGTTATGATGGACAAGCTAAACACTTGTGTGTATATGTTTGGACATATTCTCTCTGTCTTTCTCACTGTCTCCGAACTGTTACTATCATTAGCCCTCAGTATCTATCTGTCCTTATAACGGTCGGTCTATCGTGCGGGAGAGGTGCGATGAAGCGGTAGGTTGGGTTGCCTCGTCGGTTGGTTGACCAATGGATCAATCTAAATGTCTTTATGGCTGCCTGTCTGTCAGCATGCTTGCCTGCAAGCTATCTGCCTACGCGTTTTTCTGTCCGCCATCCCACCTGTGTGTCTGTCCGTCTGCCCATTCATTGCAACTAACCTTAATTGAGGAGAAAGCATGAGAAAAAAAAATCATAAATACAAAACAGTTTGATTGTGTATTTGCGTGACTAAATTCACCTTTCTACAGACTTGACTAACATGCAACCACGTATATAAGCAAACATCGGACTAGGCAATTTTCTGTCACCAAAAACTTTGCTTTGATGTCATGAACCTGAAACTAATTCCTATCTTAATTAGAGACATTAAAGTGGCGGTCTTAGTGCCAACACGAAAGAAGAGAAAGAATAAAGTAAGAAATGTTGAAGAATGTCAAAATTCTTGTGTTGTTTATCCAGCCAAGTCTGATAAGCTTGTTAAATGGGTTCAAATTTAGAAAGACGCAATGAAATTACAACATAGTTTACTTCATTTCCCGAATTACCATCTTTCAAATCTAAACAAATAATAGGCTTTACTTAATGTAGCTGAAAAAAATGATTGCTGCTATATAGCTGCCGATTTCTGAAAGTTGCGAAAATAGGTAAAACTGCTATATGAATAGCTTTTTGAAATATGTCTCAGAAAGGTAAAGTAAAGGTCCCCTTTCCACGTCTTTAGAAGTATATTTTTATAGACCAATCGGCATAAGATGGGTGATGTCGTCAGCATCACGAGGCGGCCTTTACCCTCCCGTGACTGCACCTGGCACCCACTCAAGGCTTGGTCGACCTGCGAGTCAAGGTCATTTTTGCAAAAATTCCGGTGTCTCAGAAAAATGTGACGTTTTATTTTAATTATCTCCCCATGTGGGTTCCAGGTCAATACTTAAAAAAAAAAAAAAAAAACTACCAGGACCAACAAGCAATAAACACCAGATGACACAAAGTGCCACGATTCGGATGAGAATCAGTAAGGTGCAAGTCCCAGAAACCCTATTCAATTTTGTTAGGTTATAATAGGGCTCGCGACAATAGCCAGAGTACAACATATTAAGCGCCCCTTTATTGGAGAAAGCAGAAGAAAATGTTTTCATTAACATATCTGCCGCCTCCACAATAAAAAACAAGCATGTCGTAGTAGTCGACTAACTAGGAAAATGCTTGAAAGTCAGAGTGCATCTATCTGAGCGACAAAAAGCATTCAACTGCACACAAATAAGCCAGTACGGGTGTAAATGCAAAACTCAGACCCTGGCACAAATCCCAAGTCCAAATGGACGAACAACCAGGATTTTCCGATTGAGCTTTTAGCTGCTGAACAAAGAAGAAGAAGAGAGAAGAAGAAGAAGAAGAAGAAGAAGAAGAAGAAGAAGAAGAAGAAGAAGAAGAAGAAGAAGAAGAAGAAGAAGAAGAAGAAGAAGAAGAAGAAGAAGAAGAAGAAGAAGAAAGAAGAAGAAGAAGAAGAAGAAGAAGGAAGAAGAAGAAGAAGAAGAAGAAGAAGAGAAGAAGAAGAAGAAGAAGAAGAAGAAGAAGAAGAAGAAGAAGAAGAAGAAGAAGAAGAAGAAGAAGAAGAAGAAGAAGAAGAAGAAGAAGAAGAAAAGAAGAAGAAGAAGAAGAAGAAGAAGAAGAAGAAGAAGAAGAACTGCTGTATTTCGTAAATTTCCTTTGGTGAGTGCCCAGTTCTTTAACGATGACACGCTGGCACCACTGTCGACAAGTCACAAGAACGGTTTTTCTATTAAATTGAGGGTCTGCGTGGTCTCGAGGCATTTTTTCAGCATAGAGTGCTAGAGGTTCTAGCTTCAATCCCCGGTAAGGGCTGGGATTTTTTTTTCACATGGACTTAGACTTCTTATAATTCCCCCAAGTCACTGAGTTGTGAGATTGGACGCCCGTGTGCACTGATGCGCATGTAAAAAAAAATCCCTTGACAATTGGAAATCAAGAAGAGTAACCTAACGGCGCTGCCCGGGCACAATTTGGAGTTAAAAATCTACCCAACGTATTTCAGGATCTTCGCCGGTGCTACAGAGCCTGCACATTGTGCTGAGCTTCTTCGGACTGAGACTTGATTTAGAAGAAGAATGGGGCACTTATGTGAGTCATGATGCTGACTGTTGTTTAAACCTTAAACCTCGTAATAATTTGTTTATGTATCGGGTCCTTTCAAGAACGTAACTCTCGTCCCCCGCCTAAGATGCCCTTGATCCTTTACGAGTTTTACCGGCTCGGGTAATTTCACATCTGATTTGTTTGTGTGTGTGACGTGTTATCTACGCACTAGCAGAACCTTGTATTTTCTTCTAAAGAGCAGTGACGTTCCAAAGACAAGATGTTATTTATGAACCAGTTTTCCTCCATGTTCTATCTACACAATGTCGATATTGTCTTACTTTTTTAAGCAAAGTGTGCCAAGAACTGTTTTTTGTAACCCCCCCCCCCCCCCCCCAATCTTCATGAGACCCTACTAGAGAGTTAAGAGATAGGGGCGTCATAAAAAATAGTGGGTGTCGAGTTGGTCATGCATCGAAGTATGCTTGTTCTCGCAGAGAGGCGATGTCTTCATTTGTACCTGGTAAGTCCTATTCTCAGTATGGTAAGTACAGCTTTTGAATTTTATGTTGTCTAGTGTGTGTCCTCCTATCAATCTCCGTCTACGAGCGCCAGTCAATACATGTCATATACTTAATTATTCTAGAAACAGTAGGCATCGAGCAAGCTCATAGATAAGCTGCTGCCGATCCCGTGCGTGGTGAACTACTTTATATGATAAAGCGGACGTGGTGTAAGCTCTCTGAGGTCAAATGGGCAGTGCAACAGTACCGAGTATCCGTACTTTGAAAGACTAATTTAGCGGTGGAAGAGGGGGAAGGGATGAGCGGTTGATTTGTAAGATGTTCAACACTTACCTGGTGGTGGTTTGGGTTGGGGGGGGGGGGGGGATGGGTGTGGTAGACAATAGTTTCAACACAGTTGCAGCTCGTGCTATCAGCACATCGACTTTTAGTTGGCTTTTGATGAAAGAGTAGGAGCACGTGTAGGAAGATCTCTAGTGCAGGGATACCCACTATTGATTGATTGATTCATTCCTTCAAGGGGTCGCGTTAGCGCAGTCGATAGGAGACTCGCTTTAAAATGCAGCTGTGACTTGCTGCAGCCCACGGCCGGTGTTTGAAACCGGGCGGTTCCCGGAGTTCACCCAGCCTTCAGGAAATGGGTACCAGAGCTAAAACTCTGGGTAAATGGAGGAACGTCGCTGCAGCTACGAAGATTCTTGCGGACAGCGACACAGGCGGACAGTTTCTTATTAGCTGTCCGTAGTAGTAGTTGGTGTAGACTTTTACCCCACCAGGACATCACACAAGCGTTAAACACCCGATGACACAAA